TGATGACGCTTGAGAAAAGCCAGAGAGGTCGGTAAAATGATGTCCAGCTCTCAGGCATAACGTGATATTTAAGTGCAGAAAGGAAGATCACAGGCACTGCTGTTGAATACTTCAGAGCTGAAAAAAATCACAGATCACCTATAAGATTGATGATAAATCTTTCTTAGCAATGTGGGATAATGTTACATCAATTCTCGTAGGTTAAACTTTTACCATTTAAAAGAGATGACTTTTCCTTTGTATCCTTGTACTGTCGAAGACATTGCAATAGACGACAAATATAGGGGAAAACAAGAACCAAAGGGATTGCAATTTGATGACTGCCACAGACAGCGTCAGCTTCAAACCAAGCAATTGTTGCGACCTGAAAGTCCAGGAAACCTCTTTAACATGACTTATTCTATCATCTCACAACAGACAAACCGATATAAAAACCCGTGCAGGTTGCACTGACAATCAGGATTCCATTGGTTCAGCAACAAAACTAGGATAGTGAATGATTAGCTGATATATAATATACTGGCGTTTGTTAAGTCTAGGAGGGTAACTTTTTCGTAATAGAGATCGATCTATTTGTTCCAGATCATAGAAGAATGAAACTAGTTCCTCCAGCATAAGAGGTTTCTAATCTATATTAGATCTCACAAATAATGAATTGATTGAGTAAACCAATTACCTGTCTATGCACCATCCGGCAAACGGACCGCTCTAAGTCGGAAAATACCTGCATATAATTACCAATGTTAAACATAAATGAGAATTAAAATATTAGCAGCATAATAGTTATTGACACAAAATGAATTGCAAAAGAGAAATGTGGAGCCAATTTCCTTCGTTTGCCAGTTACAGAACAATATTTTAATTCCTAACCACATAATTATTAGGAGTTAGGAAGATCTCTCACAGAAGTATTGAAATTTCATACCTTTACCATGGAGGTCAGAATATCTGCCAAAAAGAAGTCTGGAAATGTAATGGGCTGTGAAAGAGAAAACTCGCATCAGGTCCCCATGCTTAAATGAATACAAGAAGTCCACAATAATGTAAGAGTTTGGAACAAAACCCACACGGAACTAATCAAACATTATATTATCAGCTATTACGTACAACCTAGAGATTTGTCAATCCGCAAGTTTAATTTCAATCAATAGCTGTCTAGAGTCTACCACTTTACCTGCAGTGGAAAAGCTATCCTCCATAATGTTCTCAGCAGAAAATATCGACTTGACAAATAGAAGATGTCGAAGGGGAATATCAGAACCAAAGCAAAAGCAATGTACAGGAGCACCTGCAGTAGTGAAAACACAAAACTTTAGACATACCTTAGCAGGATTATCTGCATACAAATAGGAAACAGAGTAAAGCAGTAAACATAACATTTGCAATAAAATTATAGAGAGCAGAAGCTAACCGGTTGTGAAGCAGCCAAAGATACTTCCCCATGAGAATACAGATAAAGATATGCTGTCATGCTAGTTGGGACAATGATTGTCATCCACATGCTACACTGCAGTAAAAAATTACACAAAATAAAAACAAACAAGATCCAGATACTAACTGAGAACAATACGGAAAAAAAAAAGAAGGTCCGTCTACAATTTTAATGGCAATCTTCATATTCAAAGAAACCCGGAAAATAAAATAACAAGCAACTACAATCGAACTTAAATACCTTCCACATCTCTCTATGAGTAAGGTGGTTATGGTCAAGATCAAAGACTTTGGCATAATTGACACTTCCTTGAGAGAACACCCACAAGTTCACTCCCCACAGCCAAACCATCATCGTCTAAAGTATTCAAATGCCACAAACCGAGAAGATTTAATCAGAAGAGAAAGAGGTCCAAAATAGCTAAAAAGAGAGTAGACCCTCTACTCACCACAAGAAGAAGAGGATTGTAATAAAGAAATGCTTCGTACAAAAATAAATCTCGCAGGTCAATACTCATTCTCATGACTGAATCCCATCCAATCTGCTCAAACAAGATAGACCAAACATCGTCAAAAACGATCAAGATCATCAAAATTCACATTAAAACACAATAAACTAACACAAAAACCACTTACTTTGCAGCAACATAAAGCCCAAAAAAGAAACAGAACAACCTGAAATCAAAGCTTGATCAGATTGCTTTTACAGATATATATGCTCTTTAAACAATAACATTGAAAAGCAAACCTTAAATCTCCAAAGGAATATAGGAGAAGGCACCATTGTTGTAATATGAAGTGGTGAACTTGAACCCTTGAGGTCACCCATTTCTGATAAATTTCCGTTTACACCTTACAAAAAAACCCAATTAAGAAATTAGATCTCTTTGTACACCAGATCAGATTAAGCATCTACAACATTTTCTCGTTCTCAGGATCCACGGATCAGAAAAATGTCTTTTGAGTATCTATACGAACATGCTTTGGGCTTACCAGGATCAACGAAAACAGATTTGCTTCCAGATTTACGAAGGTGAGGACTGTTCGAAGAGATTGTTGCTGGGTTTTCAAACATGACCAGAGATTCATGGTTTTATAAGGAAGAACACGAAATTTCGTAAGAGTTTCATAGGAAGCGCATCGTCATCACTTCACCGGAGATCGATCGCACACAGAAACCCAGAAGACGTTTTGTGGGGAATTCTCTTGTGAGGGTTTCGCTTTTCGCTTACAGATCTTCAACGCATTGAGTAGAGATTAAGCGAAACTCTCATTTCTTTTCCGTTAAGATTTAAGACTCTTTGTTAAGTTAATTAATTGTCATCATTTAGGGGTTTTTTGGGCTTCACTGAAGCCTTGTAGGCCCACACATGTGAAAAATTATTTTCATACCAAAGAAAATTCATATGTATGTTTGAATGTATTCTACGACTGATTTTTTTTTTTAATTGAATGTGAAATATTACAAACAATAAAAAGTTAAAAATTACAATGAACTAGGTGATAGTCCGCACCATGTGCGGGCAAAAGTGTGTTAAAAATAAAAGTCTTATTACTTGTCTCGAGAGTGATGATAACATACTCTAATCTTTTTTGTAATTTTGAGCTGTTTAACTTAAACAGACGAAAAAATTAATACTATGAGTAATTTACATAATAACTATCGAACGTGAAACACAAGAAAACTTGTAACTCATCAAACTAAAAAAGAATAGTTTGATGTGTTTTGAATTCGGTAAAAGAAATAATGTCAGAAGATTTAACACAAGATATAATTGAGTGATTACATCTTTAAACTATTAACTTTATTACAAATAAAATACCAAACACAAATATAACAACAATGTTAGACATTTGACCAACAATTATAAGATCTAATAACCATAATGAATATATTGTTCCATTTACTAAAACATTGTAATTACAGAAGTTTCTTTTTCTATAAATCCTTTTATCTCTCCCTCGCCAAAAAATTATCTCTATTTTCTTGCAAGTGTTTGTCATTCTAATCGGTTCTTCCATATGTTTCTCTTCTTCTTTTTTTTTTGACTTATTTGATTTATGTTTTTTCTTCTTAATCCTTTTTTACTGTGACTTATTCTTTATCATTTTTTTCTTGTCCAACAGTTGTTCTTCTCCATTCTCTTTTGGTTTGTTAGTCTTTCTCTTCAGATTATTCTTTTTCATTGTTTTTGTGTTCTCTGACTTATTATTCTTTCGGTTTTTCTTCATCTTCTACTTCTTCATCTCTATCTTCTTCTTTTTCTTCATCTTCTCTATATTATTAAATTTCTCTTTTTCATGGTATTTTCCTTAATTTCTTAATCATCTTGGGCTTCTTTTTTTTTATAATCTTTGTCTTCTTCGACTTCTTCTTTATCCGTCTTGCTCTTGTTCTTCTTCCTTCTTATAATTCATCACATTTTTCTTCTTTGTCTCTTTGATTTCTTGTTCTATGTTTCTTAGCTTCCTTACTCATCTTCACCTTCTCATACTTTGTCATCTTCAACTTCTGTTTTTCTTCCTTATCTAGAACATATATGTCCTCTTGTTTTCTGTGTTTTTCTTAGTCAGCTCTCTTTTCTTCTCCTCCTCTTTTTTTTTGATATCATCTTCCTCGTTTCCTTCTTCATCTTCATCCTTCGACTTTGACTTCTACTTCTTTATCCTCTTTGTCTTCTCCAACACCTGCTTTTTCTTTTACTTTTATTTTTTCTTCGTCTTATTTCTTTTGATTTTTCTTTAATCTATCATTCTTACTTATCTCGTCTTTGTCTTCTTCCTCTTCTGATTTGTCTTCCTTTGCTTCCTCTTCTGATCTTCCTCATTATATTTTTCTTCTTCTTTTTCTTATTTTCTTTGACTTATTTTTCATAATAATCATAATCTAAACTTCTTCTTTTTTTCCACTTTCTTACTCCCCCTCTTCTTCCTCTTATTCTTCTACTACTTAGTTTTCTCATTTTTTATTTTTCTCTAACTTCTCCAGTGTCTCATTCTTTTTCTTCTTCTTCTTCAACTTCCCCATCTTGTTATCCTTATGCTTCTTCATTAGTTTGGGTTATTAACCTTTTTACTTTTCTTTTTGGATTTAATTGATATGACTTTGTCTTTGTCTTTTTTTACTTATTTGTCGTCTGTTTGTCTTCTTTTTCTGCTTCTTCTTCTTTTGTATCCTTCGATTTCTTTTGTAGTTTTTATTCTCTTATTTTGAATATGAATTATAATTGATAGTTGCATTGATTTGTACAGAATCAATTTCCTTAAAGGTAGTATAATAATTCTTGTGCAATAAAAAAAGAGAACATAAGATTTGTGGGCTAACATGTTTTTTTCACCGTTGTTTTGCTCTGTTTATGCTACCTCTAACGGAGGTTTCTTAAAGCTTTTTTTCATTCAATCAAAATCAAATTCAGATGAAACACTTTTACAATACACAACTTTTCAAAAACGATGTCTCATTGCTCTCATTGGAAATTAGATCATTACGTCCATTTTCACATGTTAAATAATAATAAATTGATCAAAAGTTGCAACAAATCTGTAGAAGTTTATAAAAAAAATTTCCGTCATTCTTATTCCCTATTTTGTTCTCTTAGTTTACTTTCAACCATCTTGGCCATCTCTTCATTCTCCTTCTTCATATCATTCTTATGCATGTATTGTGTTCCTCTTCTTTATTGTTTGTAAACATCTTTTTATCTATTTGTGTTCATAAATGTTTATGAATAATCAGTTATTGTTCGTAAATATAAATTTGTAAAAAACTAATTAACAACAATTATTATTTATAATCACCTGTTAGATTCATGGGAAGATATGATTCCAAAAGTTTGAGCCAATCAACTATAGTTTACGGGATGAACTCTAGGTTTAAGAAAAAAACAATAAAAAAGCTCAGGTTAATTTATACTTACGAACACGAATATAAAAAAATTAGTTATCTATACAAAGAAGCTAAGGTTAATTTTATAAACTAAGCTATCTATAGAAAGATGGCATATAAGAAAATAGGCTATCTATACAAAGAAGCGCAAGTTAATTTAGGAAAGTAAGCTATCTATACAAAATTAACATCTCCTTACAAATAAGAAAATATGAAAGACGTTTATGAACAATAAAGAAAAAGAACATGACCTAAGAAAACAGTGACGGTTGTTGTAAGTGAAAAACATATGTAGACGATAGGGTATATATAGTGTAGGACAGATGTTTTAAGGTTTAGAATTTCTTTGTTGGTGGCTCATTTAATTGATTAGTGGCTATGACCGAGAATAAAATCGCTGGCCCATTAACAAACTCGATAAAAAATGCCATGTCACACATATTGACACATAGGATTAATGATCATCTTATCAAAATAAATTAAAACGACACATATATAAATTTTAATAATGACACATAAGCGAATCGCTCTAGAGACGACACATATGATTTTTTACTTCGCAAATAATAGTATAGATATTATCGGTGTTTTGGAAAGTTTCTATCTAAGTTTACAAAATCTAAATTGAAGGAGATGTGTGTCCTCGTAAGTGCGGTCACCCTTTTTCCAAACTGAGCTAAAACAATTTTTTTACAATCTTTTCTAAAATTTTTATGAGATGATCCAGCGTAATGCAGGATCTATTTCAGAAGTATGATATCAAGACTGGTTGGTAAATTTGGTCGTGATTAAAACGAAGAACGGAAAATGGGAAATCTGTGTTGATTATACAAAGCGTATCTGTAAGATAGTTTTCCCATTATACACATCAAACGCTAGAAGATATAGATGATTGTGGGACGTCTTCCCATTATACACATCAAACGCTAGAAGACACTGATGCTTGTGGGACATCTGTGGGACGTCTGTGGGACGTCTTCTCGTGATCGTCGGGATGCACAAAAATTTATAAATGAAAGTAACTCATTGCCAGCTGTTGTCTCAACTAAACTTTTGTTTGATTGTTAATTCAATTTATGTTGGGCACTCAAACATTTCTCCATAGAATCAAATTAGGTTTTTCAACGGTAATAGAACAATTCACAGAAGATCGCAATCATAATAATATAGTTCTAAGCTATTCAAATAAGGCCGTAGCTAGAGAATTTGGCGTTAGTCAAAAATCATACTACCTACAAATTAAAACTTACATGTAAATCTAAAAAATAGCTGCACAATTGATGCACAATACATGCTATTTGGCTAAATAATGTTATGTTTACAACTTCAAATTTAAATTAATTATTTTTAACGACACATTGTTATGACAAGAAAAGTTACGAGATAAGAAAAACTTTGATAAAAATTTGGTAAGTACTCTTATAATTTCTATGCTAATTCAAACTAATTAGATATATATGATTTAAATTTATTATCAATAAGATACTTATATCATTCAAATCATCTTCAAGTGGTGATCCTGTAAGAAGCTCATTTGGAGTTTGTTTAACTTGGAAGAAAATTTTCTTTAAAATTCGGTGTTATATTTGTTTTGGAGAAAATTTTAATTCTTCCTCGCAGCTTCAACTTCTTTCTTAGAAGTACTGAATCAACTTTATCATATGCAACCTTAAGCATCTTCAACTTGAACCTTGTATCCAATATTGCTTTGGCTAAAATGACACAGTATTCATCCCAGTACTTTGCAAACTTACTTTGCATATCCAGAGCCATTAATCTCACATCCTTCTCATTACACTTTGCATATTTTTCAGCAGCAACTAAATCTTCTATATTTGTATGAAATATACATTGTTTGTAGGATATTTCATTCCTAAGAATATGTGGTGATTGTATTAGATGGCTTCAAAAAGGCATGAATTTTTTCTCTTTTATCCAACTCTTCTTCTGAGGGAATGAGTTGAAATTTCTATTATACAGTTGCAGATTAGCAAATGTTTTACAAAACTTCAAAGTTCTAGTAAACATATCATAATGGAATTCCATCGTGTCTTCATATCTAAATACAACCAGTTCCATTCTTGATTCCAACACCCTCGACACACTCGAAGAAAAAAATTCTATTTTCGCTCCTATTTACTACGGCGACGACTAGCGGAACAGAAGATGGGTTAATGGGCTCTTAAGGCTTTGAATATTTCCTTGATTCTGTAGTCTTCATAAACTTAACACTTTTCTCTAATATTCAGAATGTGTGCACAATATCTCACATGCAGAAATTTCCATCACACAGCAGTCCATTACATGCTTAAAGATCATTTGCATATTATCAGTAACAGAAGCATTATCCAAAGTGATGAAAAATATTATTTTTTTTTAATCTAAATCCCTTT